TCAGCCTTCCTTAGGTCGAGCGTCATCTGTTGTTCACCGTATAAATACCGGTCAAGAGACGCCATTACGGCAGCGTCCATATCGCGTGTCAACTACCGAACGCCGTGCCATCAATGAACAGGTTGACGACATGCTGACACGTGGCATAATCGAACCGTCAAGCAGTCCCTGGGCCTCTCCACTTGTGTTGGTGAAGAAGAAGGACGGATCCATCAGGTTTTGCGTGGACTACCGGCGTCTCAACCGAATCACGCACAAGGATGTCTATCCGCTGCCACGCATAGACGATGCCTTGGACGGCCTACAGGGAGCCGAATTTTTCTTTTCTTTAGATCTGCGCTTTGGATACTGGCAGGTACCCATGGCAGAGGCCGATCGTGAAAAAACTGCTTTTATCACGCCCGATGGGCTTTTACGAATTCACAGTCATGCCCTTCGGCCTCTGCAACGCGCCAGCTACTTTCGAGCGGATGATGGACTCTATCCTTCGAGGCCTCAAATGGAACGTTTGCATTTGTTATTTAGATGATATTGTCGTCTTTTCAACTGATTTCGCAACCCATTTAACCCGCCTCGAGAAAGTCCTCGCGTGTATTTCAGCCGCGGGGCTGCAACTGAATCTGAAGAAGTGCAATTTCGCCGCTCGAAAGCTTACGATCCTTGGTCACGTGGTTTCAAAAGACGGCATTCTTCCTGACCCTGCCAAACTTACAGCCGTTTCAGCGTTTCCCAAACCGACCACTATGAAAGAGCTCCGAAGCTTCATAGGCCTTTGCTCTTACTTCCGGCGCTTCGTCCGCAATTTCGCGACGATCATCGCTCCTTTGACCAAGCTCCTCGCCGGCTCTAGAGACCTTTCAGCCTGGTCTGCCACCTGTGACGACTCTTTCAATGAACTGCGCCGCCTCCTCACGTCGCCGCCTATTCTGCGACACTACGACCCATCGGCACCCACAGAGATCCACACCGACGCTAGTGGTGTCGGGCTAGGCGCTATTCTTGCACAGAAGAAAGACGGCTTCCAAGAGTACGTGGTTGCCTACGCAAGCCGAACTCTTAGCAAAGCCGAAACCAACTATTCTGTCACTGAAAAGGAATGCCTCGCCATTATTTGGGCGATAGAGAAATTTCGACCTTACGTGTACGGGCGCCCTTTTGACGTCGGGACTGACCACCACGCCCTCTGCTGGTTGTCGTCACTGAAGGATCCAAGCGGTCGCCTCGCCCGATGGGCATTACGCCTTCAAGAATATAATATTCGCGTGGTCTATCGCTGCGGCCGGAAACATTCGGACGCAGACGCCCTATCCCGTTCGCCTCTACCTCCTGACCCGGACTGCTGCGAAAGTCTAACCTGTGATGCAACTGCCGTCACCATCGCCGACATGCCATCTGAGCAACGCAAGGACCCTTGGGTTGCTTCGATTGTAGACATCCTGGCTGGGCGGACGGCTTCCCCCCCTTCTCGCACGTTGCGTCGGCAAGTCGAGCACTTCGCCACTCACGACGACGTGCTGTACCGACGCAACTACGCACCCGGTGGACGTCAGTGGCTACTCGTGATTCCACGTCATCTGCGATCCGAAATTTGTTCCACGTTTCATGAAGACCTCCAATGTGGCCACGCAGGTTTCCTGAAGACTTATTCTCGCATACGTATCCGATATTACTGGCGTGGCATGTACCGTTTTATACGACAAAACGTTCGGGCCTGCTCGACGTGCCAGAGACGAAAAACTCCCCCTTATCACGCTAGCGGTACCTTGCTACCATTGCCATGCCCATGCCGACCATTCGACCGCGTCGGCATCGATATCTATGGTCCCCTTCCCAACACTGCTGACGGTAACCGCTGGATCATAGTTGCCGTCAACCATCTCACGCGGTCATGCCGAAACTTCATCCCTTCCCTCGTCTACAGCAAAAGACGTTGCGACTTTCGTTCTTCACGACATCGTATTACGTCATGGAGCACCTCGGGAGTTACTGAGCGATCGTGGTCGCGTATTCTTGTCAGACGTCATCACAGCATTGCTGCGTGAGTGCCACGTCGTTCACCGCACTACAAGCGCCTATCATCCCCAGACCAATGCAATGAGAGAGCGCTTCAACCGCACCCTTGGTGACATGCTGTCTATGTATATCTCGTCAGACCACTCCAATTGGGACCGAGTGCTCCCGTTTATCACGTTCGCTTATAATACCGCCATTCAAAGCACTACTGGATTCCCTTCTTTTTTCCTCCTTTACGGACGCGAACCTTCTTGCACTATGGATACCATTCTTTCGTACAAACCTGACTCCTCAGAGTCCACGACTTTGTCTCAAGCCGCTACATACGCTGAAGAATGCCGCCAACAGGCAAGATCATTCACAACCCAAGACCAAGGATGCCAAAAGCACCACCATGACGCATCAAATAACACTACTTCCTACGATCCAGGTTCACTCTTCTGGCTGCATGTCCCTTCTGCTATACCTGGCCTTTCTACCAAGTTGGTCCCCAAGTATCACGGCCCATATCGTGTGCTACAAAAAACGTCACCGGTGAATTACCTCATCAAGCCACTAGAACCATCTTCTGACCAACGTCGTCGTGGCCACGAAATTGTCCACGTCTCGAGACTTAAGCCCTGCTACGACCCTCCCGTGTTTACTTGTCCATAGGTCGCCAGGATGGCTCCTTATTTCGCGGGGAGTAATTGTAATGAATCTGAATAACGGACGCTCTGCTGGTAATGAAGACGACAATGATGATCGGTGGCTGCAGTAGTAGCTCGCACACGCCGCTCGCCATTAGCCAGACCTGCCTGATAAAGGACATTTTGCCAAGCTACGTCTGAACCTTTCTCGACGTACAACACCTCTATTATAATATATATATATATATATATATATATATATATATATATATATATATATATATATTATTCTTTACTTTTTTTTGCGCACTTTCGTGCGTCTTACTTGTCTTACACTGGAGCTGCATGTTTTTTTTTTTACTGTGGGTTTACTAGGTCGCTTCTCGTCGTGGAAATCACCTTTGCGGATATTGTATGAGGCAGGGCCTTTGCCGCCTTCCAGGAGATCATGATTTGTACAAATTTTGTAATGCGTCTGATGTTCGAAAGTACTGATGAATTTTTCCCTTTGTTAGCATGTCACATTGAATTGACATTATCACCAGGTTCAAGATTTGGAGATTGATTTTTGTTTGACATTACCACATCGCATATATGTGCGTTCCGTAATGTTCATGTTGAAAAATGTTGCACCTTGAAAATAAATTGTGGAGGACTAAAGCTTCAGACAGGGACAAGCGCTATATACTGTCAAATAAATTGATACTTTATGCAGGAGGGTGTCAACTAAATTCACCTATTACTAAGAGCTGTTCCACCCGTATTCTTACATTGTATCCCCTTATTCTGGTATTATGCGGCAGGGCATGGTAATATGTAAAAAAACGCATCTCGATCCTGTATAAAACTGTTATACTGTTATTCATGCAACTGTATAAAATCACTACAAATAGACAGAAAGAAACGGGATAGCGACACCATGCTTAAAAGAGACACCATGCCCACTAGCTTGATGGTCATAGACAAACTAAATAGAGAGGAGACCAGAAAAAAAACAGAGTGGGGCAGACAAGAAAAAATAAAGAAAGAGAGTGGGGCACACCGCAACAAGCGCAAAATACCAGCATTGCAGACAAGTAACTTTACTGCAGTGATTAATGAGAATTCAGCTGAACCTTGAGTGACCACCGCCTACAATTAGTTCACGGCCATTGGGAAGCCAAAATGTGTCGTGTGCTGTTTGAGAAGCCGCTGGAATTCGCTTATCAGCACCTACCGGCAACTGTGAGAAGTTGGGCATCCGATTAGTGAGCGTCAACGCATTTCACTGCAGTCTTTTCAAGGTAGTGTTCAAAAACCGGTTGTAAAGACCTTGTCTGAAGTCCGTGTAGGCGAATGTGAAGTGCAACGCTAACACATCTGATGCGTACTTCTATGCATTGATTGATTGATTGATAAGTGGGGTTTAACGTCCCAAAACCACCATATGATTATGAGAGACGCCGTACTGGAGGACTCCGGAAATTTCGACCACCTGGGGTTCTTTAACGTGCACCCAAGTCTGAGTACACGGGCCTACAACATTTCCGCCTCCATCGGAAATGCAGCCGCCGCAGCCGGGATTCGATCCCGCGACCTACGGGTCAGAAGCCGAGTATCTTAGCCACTAGACCACCGCGGCGGGGCGTACTTCCACGCAATATATATTTGTTATAACGTGCGCGGTTTATTCGAATGACACAAACGCGTCACAGGAAGATGTGAATATATCTGAGCAGCGGCTAACAAGAACGGCCTGAACCCGTGAATCCTATCTTTCGACAAGATCAATAATACAAAATGACTTGTATGAGCCAGGCTTCTAACGGAGTCAAGTCAACGTTGTCGAAACGTCTTGCTCGACAGGTTGATTTTTTTATTGCTAGGCCGCTTAGTTGATCAATACACACTTGATATGTGTTCTTAAAAATTGATCACCAAAATTTTCCAGTTTAACACTTACCTTTATACCATTGTCGAAGTACAATTTTCATGCAGAGGCGTCTCAGGTCGTCGTCGAGTTTTATGACGTAATTGTTATACAGCTCACAGAAGTCGCAGAAACCTCGAATAGAGGATTCACGTGGCGTCGCACCACTATTGATATATAATTGAATCTATATCTTTGACAATGCTGTATCATGACTTCTAGTGAGAAGATAAAGTATGTATGTTTACGCTTCTGAATGCTTCAATCACATAACCCGCGCCCTCATATAAGCTTTCCCGTTGTGACCACGTTTTCTCTTCATTTAATTTTGTGTTTCAATTTTTTTCTTTTACCATCCGCTTCTCAGCCCTTCATAGAACTAAGTGAAGCACATCCACAAATGATTCGTCTGATATATGGTATGTTATTCGTTTTTCCCCCATTTGTAGAAAAAAATGACCTGTCCACTACCGCGATGGCGAAGAAATGTAAGTTACAAACACCATTTATTATTTATTTTACGCTTTTTCAAAACAACCTCCGCTATCGATCTCGCTGCACAGCTAAAAACGACCACCGTTCTCTGAGAATTTTTAAATAAATGGTGTAGTATTACCTTTTTTATGATGAATTGAAGCTTAATATTTTTCACTTGCACACCTAATTTTGTGTTAAATTTCGTGCCGCTAAAGAACAAACTGGCCACCACGGCCGCAGCTCGGCGAGGGAAAACACACACAAACACCCGTGTAATCAGGTTTTATGCCCTTTAAAGAACCTAATTTGTTTTGATATTCATTGGAGTCTCTTAATACTCAAGCGTGCTTTGTAATCAGAATGCAATAAAAACCTCCGGTATTATGTTAATTAAGCGGTAAGCAAGCTCTTTTGCAATAAATCGCAAGATCAGATAAGGCTGCAGTGGTACCTGAACCGTTTGAAACAAGCATTGTTTGTAAATTAATATCGTTCAGCGTTGCGTATAAAAATCATTGTAACGTACGAGATAATGCTTGGACCGCAACATGATTGTATGTCTGCTCGATCAGCGTATGGGCAGTACGCGTATTTGACAGCATGTCTTTATTGACAAACTATATCACAGACGAAATAAAACTGCAACAAAAAAACGCTACATATGCCTCGCTGGCTATTGCATAACGGTGATGTAATTCGAAATATGTTGCGTAATAATTGACATCCATGCATAAATAGTTATGCACAGCCTCTAAGGCTGTATTTCGTGTTTAAAGGGTTGCATATATATATGTATATATATATATATATATATATATATAATATATATATATATATATATATATATATATATATATATATATATATATATATATATATATATATATAATATATATATATATATATTTTACTAACGTGCTCTGCATTGTGCGTCTGTTTGTGTGGAATCTGTACGAGTTATATAATATGTACAAATATTAAGAGGGTAACGGTAGCCTATAATATACAATTACTTACCAATCATTACTGCTTTGCGGGTAGTTTAATAGGGCTGCACGGTTCGAAAACGTCTGTCACAACAACAACAACAACAACAAAAACTTTAATAATAATAATAATAATAATATTAATAATAATAGTTGTGTGATCATTAGGTTAGAAACTCGGTAAGATTGCTAATGATCAGCAGAAGAGCTGTTAAAAAGATTTTCGAATGGTCATGGTTACTAAATACTAAAAAGGCAAAGAATACAAATCGTTTATCTAGAAAAAAACAGGACGGAAAAGGTATATTCGTAAACTTGGTTTTGTATTCTGCACTTAAGCAAAAACTTTGCCATCTGCTTTTTTTTTCAATTCACTTTAAGTATCGCATCAGGTTGTTGGCTATGTTTCACCTCTTGTGATACAAAACAGTTTTCACTGTTACCATCTGTTTCAGTGACGAACCTTTCTGTTTAAGGCGCCGTGGTTACCTCGCGATCTCGTTTCTCCCAACAACGTCCTCTGAAAATCTGCGACGTATTTGCGCTGCTACTGTCAGAGAATATAACGGACGGGCTCCTTTAGCCTCGTTCTTTGAAATCCCGTCAACATTTTCTGAAAATTCTCTAAAAGACGTTGGGAAAAAAACGGAAAGAAAAGCAGTGTGGTTTACCAGGTTGTATCCCGTTTGCTATCCTGCGTGCACTCAAATAAATAAATAAATAAATAACGAAAAAAAGAATGAAAGAAAGAAAGAAAGAAAGAAAGAAAGAAAGAAAGAAAGAAAGAAAGAAAGAAAGAAAGAAAGAAAGAAAGAAAGAACAACTACAGAAAAGTGGTTATGAGGAGATCACACACAGAAAGGCTGGCGTGCGAAACGCTCGGTTGTTTTTGTGGTCCAGCTTTTTGCGTTTGTGTACTGTGCGTGATTCCTTGTCGTACCATGTAGTCGTGGATTGTAGTTGACGCGCGGATATATACACACAACAGCGTCCATAGCGTATGCAAAAGGCAAAGGCATAGGTATGCAATCTCAAAGGCCACTCTTCACGGCAAAGTAAAATGGTCAGCTGTGACTTTTTTTGTGCGCTAATGAAGTGGTCAGCTTCATCTTGGCTTCTTTGAACGCTTGATTCCCCGCTGTATAGCCTGCTTAAAGCTGCGCATTGAGTGTTTTTCATCTTCATTGACGGGATAGTAGGTCAAAATGTGTAACCGATACTTCTGACACCATGCAATCGACGCTGGGACCTAAACCATGCTATAGGAACAGACGTGCAGACACGAGAGACCACTGGACGCTGCGCCACCTGTAGCGTCTTATAATCAAGTGTCGGTTCATTGCTAGAACAGCCGTTAGGGGACGCAGCCCAATGTTGACGGACATATACGTAATGTCCGCTACAAGGTGCAGCTTCTGCACTTGCTCTCACTATGATCTTGGCAGGAAGCTGTTCCGAATGCTTCCTCTCGAATTTGGACATGTAGTGCACAGTTTTTTCCAGAAACGATTAATGCCTGTCCAATGGTTTCTCGCCAGCGTCGCTTTTGTAATAAGTTGCAATGCGCTCAGTCGCTGTTGGGCGAACTTCCGTCTCACTCCGAGAGGTTGTAATTGCACCGGATCTCTCAGTTCAACACGTGTCTGAAGCACTCTCATTCGGGACGTATACGCACGCGACGCTTTCGTCCGACATGGCGAAAGCGGGCGAACTAACAATGACACGCGGACGAGGGAGCGGACCTCGGTATGTGTAATTGCACACCTCTGTATAAAAGTCGGGGCCTGGCGGCACGCTTACGGTCACAGCCACCTGATCTCGCTGGAAGTAAATAGATGCATGGCTGACCTTGGACGGACTAGGAGCGCCCTTGCACAAGGAAGCTCTTGTCTCCGTTCGTGCACGCCACACTAGCGGCGAAATACAGAAAAGGAAAGGGTGGCCGGGATAAAACACGCACTAGAAAAAGTTGCAGTAGAAAAAAGAGCCACAGACAAAAAGAAAGAGAACGCCGGCGAAGGCGGAAGGCTCTCTTGCAAAGCTGTCTTGCCAGAAGCGGAGTACACATGCCCGACTTCTGTACGCTGTTTCCTGCATTGGTTCATTTGAATGCGGCTTGGCACGCACGTGACACGACCCGCTGCGTCCGTACGTGGCTCGCATGACCGAAGCCGTGGATCGGCCAGCTGTGCACCGTGACGCCGGCATATTTCGAATGATCGGGACGTCGATGTTAGTATTAAGCACTTCACGTATTAAGCGTGGCTGCCAGTTTCCGTTGATTTGCCTTTCTCTTTCTCGCGCAGCATCTGCGTAACCTATCTGTCATTCTGCCGCCGGCTATATAGCATGGTGCCAGACTTACGCAGTCAAGCGCAATAAGGTGATTAGATTGTACCCGTGAGGCTCCTCAGGTATGCTACCAGGCGCCTATAGCTTTACCTTCGATTACAATTCGTATTCATAATATGCTGATTTCTCTTTGACGTAGTGCACTAAACAACTTCTAATCAGACATTTTCGTTCGCCTATATATTCTCGCACTCTGCGTGGCATGTGACCCTTTTATGATACCTTGATACCTTTAAAGTGACGTTTCAAGCATTAGAAACTTGGATGTCGCTTAAGCTTCACCTTCAGGAAGAGCACAACGCGTTAGCGTAATTGGACCCTGTTCTCGTCACGTTCTCAAATACTAGCCCAGTTACGCCTCTCGGTGGACACCTAAACCTTGTTAGAAGAAAAGAAAGTCTGTGCGCGTGCAAACTGGCTGTTTCAAACTGTCCCAGTGCGCCTTTTCAAGTAAGTACCTACATGCGCGAAGTTCCTGCCAAGACATCATTCTTTCTTTTGATTAGTGAGGTTTAACTTCCCAAAACTACCATATCACTATGAGAGACAACGTAGTGGAGGGCTCCGGAAATTTCGACCACCTGGGGTTCTTTAACGTGCACAAAAATCTGAGCTCACGGGCCTACAATGTTTCCGCCTCCATCGGAAATGCAGCCGCCACAGCCGGGATTCGATCCCACGACCTGCGGGTCAGCATCCGAGTGCCTTAGCCACTAGACCACCGCGGCGAGGCATTCTTTCTTTTGGGAGTTTGCGAGACACCCACTGTTCGTCCGTGAAGGCAACACATGCACCTGCGCAGATGAACATGTTGTTGATGGTCTCTTTGGTAACGTTAATTAATTACGCTTGGGTGCTTTGTAATAGGCGGGCCTTTAAACGCACCCGTCGTTGCGTGATTCATATGCTTTCACGCCCAGGCTGATTCTATGGCTCTGCCACATGGCGTTGCGTGTTTCAATGGCACTCTTAGCCTTACCTACGTAACATCCGCAGGGTGTTTTTTTTTTCGACCTTTGATGGGAGCACACGCACACTTGCCACGCCGAAAAACCTTGGTTCGATTCCCACACGAGCCGAAAATAATAATGCTGATTTGTTATCCTCCTCTTTGAACTTTCGCACAGTACCATCGACGCAGCTGGTAAAATTAGTGAAAAACGAACTTTTTCTAGCGTTTTCATATAGTAAAGAGCAGACAAAATCAGAATGGGTCAGGGAACAAACAAATACCCAACATTCTGTTGAAATTAAACGAAAGAAATAACTCTCGATTGGCCACCGCACAGCAACCAGTGCAAAACTGTAGCGATGGAATGGTTACCAACGAACATGAGGAACGCATGCGAGGACGGCTATGAAATAGATGGAGGGAGTATGAGTTTTATTGAAACAGAGCAGTGGGTGGATTTCTGCGAAGTGAGGCCCCTCTTCAAGAACACCGCTGGCCGCAGCGGCCTGCCGAGCTTGACCTGTGTTAGCCGGCTGTCTTCTCAAGCGCCATATTGGCAAATTGCGTCTCCCACAACCACATCGTTCACATTTGTCGTGTATTGCCGTAGCCGATCGAGATTGGTTGCTCAGAACGATATCCAATTTTCCCAGTCACGTGGGAGCCGTTTCCACTTTGTGCCTGCGAACATCTCAGTGCTGTTTCTACCGCTCATTCGGGGCCAGGAACACAACTTTCCCTGAATCAGTATTGCGCATTTCCAGATAAATAGTCGCTACAGCCGTTCGAGCGGCCGTAATGGCGGTAACTTATTTCAATATTTCAGTTTGCGTTAGTGACGCTATCATAGGCACAATGCCTTTTGAAGTGTTTCTCTTTTTTTTCCTCCATGAGAACGCGTATAAAACACAAAAAACATGTCTGTCGGGCATTATCATGTGGGCGAAGCGTCCCAACAATCGTTATCAGCGTCCAATAACCGGATGTTACAAAAAGTATTGTGTATATCAAATAATATGCAAACACGCAATGCTTTCTGGTTCAATTGGACCTTATATCTTTAATGCAGCCTTTACCAGACGACATGAACTCACAGAATCGCAGCATATTGCCCATCGTCTGTCGACGAATGTACTGACTGTTTATAACTCATACACGCGCCTCAATTTTTACGTATGTATTACGACTACACATATGCACCTCTCTCCCGCCACCATATTTGTGTAAATGTCCGGTATGCACCACCTATCGGCTTATGAGCTGGGCGCCACTGTGATTGGACGACTCATTGAGGTCGACAGCACTTTGATTGGCTGACACTGTGTCGTCCAATCAAAGATTGCACCAACTGGTCCGGCATTGTTTGACAGCAAAGGTCATCGAAGAGCGGTGAGAAAAGTGGTGTGCTCCGGTTCCGAGTTTATATTTTGTGTTTATTATATTTCTATTATGAAAATGCTGTAGACCCGTGGGCTCATATTTGGGTGTACGTTCAAGAACCCCACGTGGTCAAAATTTCCGGAGCCCTCGACTACGGCATCTCTCATAATCATATGGTGGTTTCGGGACGTTAAAACCCAAAAATCTATCAATTCTATTTCTATTCTTTCTCCCCTACTAGCACTCCATTATTTCTCGAATGTATGCTAAAGCCGCGAGGACGCCTCATCTCGCACTGAAATTTACAGATTTCTCAAGACTCGGGAGAACGTTATCTTTTGTTAAATCTCTCCATTTCAAAAATTTGTAGTCATCAGCTCACAACTATAATATTTACAATCTTCTCTCTGCAAGCAATGTCTGTCATGGAGGACCTAACAAAAACTAAACAATTTCCCACTGTAACAATACGCGTGTGCATTGATCATGGGTATTGTTAGAGCTAAAAATAGTGTTTTTTTTCCTTTTTATTAGCCTGAATGTGCTCCATTCCAAAACGAATATCTAACGGCTGTGCATCAATCACTGCAGCACAACGTGGTTGATGATAGCATCTATCCGCAAGAACAATTTTATTTTGCACAATAGGCTTGACAGTGCTCGTTGTCAATACCTTTCTGTAAGCAAACGACATCGCTACGCCAACCTTTCTTCGCTGGGGAGCCATAACTTTCAACGCCTGGTTTCACGTTGCTGCTATCGTTGACTAACGACCCTGTGATGAAAAACGGGCTGACATGTAATGGGACATACTGGCCTTCTGACCAGTCTTCGCTCCGTAAGTTACGCTGGAATACACTCTTATTATGCACCTCTGCGCATTAAGTATCAAAAAATCTCATCCCAGAACACCCCTCTCCTCGGGGGCCTCATAAGCAGACTGGGCGTACTAGCCAGAGGAGATGCTGTGACGTGATGCTACATCGATATGGGGTAGAAACGTGGGCGAGTTGAAATCGACGCACACGTAATCTTTTCGTCCATTTTTATTTTTTCACAATAACATTACAACTACTAGCAATAACATAACCTGCTCTTTACTTGGCATCATTTTCTGTTGGTTGTCTATTGGGTGGGAGGACATACCTTGGCGCCACCATGCAAAGGTGTCCCTGTGACGTACGTGGTTGGATTGTTCCGCTGCCTCTTGTGCGCAGCCCGCAGGCGCATTCGCGTCTCCTTTTTTATTGTTATTCTTGTACTTCAATCAACGAAATTAGTAAAACAATGATGCAGCTTCTTCCCTGACTGTACGAAGTGCTAAATAACTGTCCCTGAAAAGTGTTACGGTTCTCACAATGCCTGACTGCCGGCGCCATCTGCTAAGATCCCCTAAATGAAGAAAGCATGGTATAGCCGAGCGCGCTGCCTCTGTAAAAGGTGACCACTCATTCCGTGTCAAGTCAATTGATTTATATGTGGGGTTTAACGTCCCAAAACCACCACATGATTATGAGAGATGCCGTAGTGGAGGGCTCCGGAAATTTCGACCACCTGGGGTTTTTAACGTGCACCCGAATCTGAGCACACGGGCCTACAACATTTTCACCTCCATCGGAAATGCAGCCGCCGCAGCCGGGATTCGATCCCGCGACCTGCGGGTCAGCAGCTGAGTACCTTAGCCACTAGACCACCACGGCGGGGCCTGTTTTTACCGTCAATAAATGTCTTAGCCCTTCTGTGTCCTTTCTTCGTGTTTAAAGCACGGCCCCTGAAATAACGTGTTTAGCAAACTCATAAGCACCAGCTCGCCCAAGAACCAGTTCTTTTACAGATACCGTCGTGAATTTAAACACACTTTGGAACGAAATGGGAAAACCGTGCTTCTATACTTGTCTCTCGGCCTGTATGAGCAGCCCATGCGTAGATTCTCTGATAATAAATCTTTTTCGTGGCTTAACATTGGTTTCTGAAGTAAAACAGTACCTGATGATTACCTATAGGAGTAAATAAAGAGTGCGCCTACAAATTTGTTGTAACGTTTCGAGGAGAAAATGAATTCTCTTTGTCATAAGTTTCAGCAAGGCTAAGGATTAACGGCAGTCCCGTCCACAAGTGTATTTTGTGTAGTTGTACTTTAGTTATTTTATTTTTCTTAGGGTGAATGCTGCTCAGGCTCAATAGACGCATTTGGCTGCAAGGATAGTGCAATGGACTTGAGGGCGCTGCGAGGTGTACCAAAAGCACGTCGCTCACTTGTCTCGTAAGTCTCAAAAAGGACAAATACACCTATGAATACGTAGACAATCAGCGGCAGCATTCTCGGTCCTAATTAAGGTGTTTAATGTTTGTTATTTTAACGTCACTTATTACATGCAATACATGCAACGTCACTTAATACATTTATGTAGTTGTGTTGTTTGTTCTGCCGCCTATACGTAATGATTATTCCACGTGACGTATATTTTATCTGTTCGCTAGAAACATTATTAGAGACATAATTTTTGCATTTTGATATTTTATTGGGTTACGTATTATTGATATTGTTAGGTTACTGCGAGAGCATGTTGTTTGGCGTGTCTTTTTTTTTTTAATCGTCCTCGTATTACAGAAAACGTTGTTAGGCATACGTTGGTAAACCATGTGTGCTGTGCGCTCTTGTACGAAAACAGCGCAAAAAGAACGGAGCACGAGAATAGGACACAATACATACCTCGTCCAATTTGCGCTGATTTTGCACAATATACAGCAAATCCAACTCGTCCACTTCTCTACCTTGTTGTACGCTCGAACCCTTCAAGATCTATGTGGTAACCAGAGCCTTATTCGTGCGCCAACATCTTGTTATATCATATCATGTTTATGAATAGTCTGATTTGTTTTTTTGTTTTTGTTATGTTTCTTTTATCCGAGATCACTAAACTATGGTATTATGAAGCCTTTTCAAGCCACAGTTCAGTTGTATCTGTGATCTCCATATTTTACATTTATGAATAATTCATTTATTTTTTGCTCATTTTTCTATTTACCTAGGTATCTATGCATTATTGCGGATGAAGTTTTGTCAGGTGCTTTACAACGTCTGTGCTGCTTTTTTTCTGTTCCAAACTCTTTTTCCTTCTCGAGTCTGCCCGTCCCCTTGCTCACGGGACGTCTGTTTTCTAATTAACCTTCCCTCTGTCCTTCCTCTCATTCAAACTCTCTGTCCTATCAATAGTGGGTTGCTCCGAATGAATGGTCGTAGAAAAGTTATCAACATTCACATAAATGCAACCCTAGACCAAACACCGTTGAAGTGGTCCCGAGGTTACATTTCACAGACGAAACCTTTATTGCTGAAAAAAAAACGTTATAGGCAACAATCAAAGGTAGAAAAAATCCGCATTTCAGCAGTCGACAACGTTTTGCCAGGCATTTTGGTGGTTGGCTTAAGTACCATCATAAGGAAAAATAGATAGCTAACGTGCTGATACATAAGGTGAATTTTGAATAAAAATAATGTTAACGTTCTACTTAAAACCTGAATAAACATCTCGTTAAGTTCATTCGTGAGTGTACGTAGTGGTAAAACTGAAGAAGTGCGTTTTTTTTGCATAATTTCTAAGTATGCACTGTTTACAACATCATTACGGGAAAACTTCGATTATTTTGCTCCCGTCTCTATCTGCTGGTTTGTTCCGAGTCAAACAAATGAAAGTTTGTTTCCCGTTGTCTTTGCGCACCCAGTGCTGGACTCCATCGGGCGTCCCCCGTCTGGCATCCTGGACGTGACCATGTCGGACTATGGCGACTACGACCAGTGCCTCGAGGTGGTGTCGCTGACGCGCTCCGGTGACGAGGACTTCCGCGGACAGCACTGCAACATCCAGGTCGAGCACCCGCACATACCCGCCCTCACGAAGCACGCCATCGCACGCCTGCCGCAGATACTCAAGGAGGACTCGGTGAGTGCTGCCCCAATATCGTGAACGTGTAATCTTACATTAGCTGTCCTTTAAAAAGTACATTAAAGAGGGACACTGACTTGGTTTACATTGACACACCGTACTCCAAGAATTATATTGTCATACGTTTCACTATCATCCGTTCATTATTAGCGGAGAAAATGAAGGTTTCGTTTTTTTAATTTCGCGCCTAAATTTCCGTGCGTGACGTAAGAAATTTCAAAATGTATTTTCGGCATTTTTGTGGCATAGACTTGATGAAGTTTTCTGAAACTTCGTACGCTGAATATTGCACATACAGATTACAGTGTACTTTGTTTTTATCGATGGAAGCTACGTAGGACCCTGTAGATGCCTTCGAAATTCTTACCTCACAGTGTTTTATGTGAGAATTCCAAGTCGGCGTCGTCACTTGCATTTTATTTTTGCGCGTTTTATCGCTTAAGCGTCGTGTCGTGGTAAAAGTGGTGTTTTTGGTATTGTGAAATCGTATTTTACTAATGCGTGAAAAATATTTTTGCTCTTTAGTGTCCCTTTAGAACGAGGCTCTATATATCCAGGTACCGGCGGATTGCGTCCTCGCGCAGCAGACGCGTAGAGCAACACTTTTCGGCAAACCGATTAACTCGACTAATACGACAATCCAGCATCGAAAAAATGTACGTGGCCTAAAAGTCATCACAATGGTTTGTGATCTCCCCGGCATGGCACGTTGAGGTGATGTATATGCCTCAAAGATAAGACCACTTGCATAACAAACGCACGACGTACAAATTTGTACTTTCAAAACAACCAAGTTTTTTTTCCGCTGCAGCATTCTTTCTCAAAGTGGGTTCCGCAAGCCCCTCCCCAGGTTTCGCGAGACACTGATAAATTTTCCCTGGTTCCACGCTTGTCAAGTAACCTAAATGGTGAACCCGAGTGCGATCGGCCTAGAGAACCTCCATTTTTTCACGTCCGATTGCCACTAAGTACATCTCGGTGCATAACACAAACGCGCGAGCTGCACAATAAATCCCACCAGCAGGTTGTAAACGAACACTCTTAAAACGGGCGGCGTGGTTAATCTATTGCGCTTGCCTTATAATATCACCATGTGCCCTTCTCCTGTTTGAAAGTAGGTGCCCAAGATAAGGCAGTGGTCATTCTGCAGCCTTTTTCAACAACGTCTGCTTGTGAGCAGGTTTTTTGACGCAAGCATATCTGAGAAGTAGGCACAGGCATCGGCTGAATCTAGCAGCCGACGTGTGGCTGGCCCCTGAGTCTCGCATAGATTTTTTGGTGCAACGAAAGTAGTTCAGTTGCATGTCAGTGAAAAAAAGTTTTGTTATACCCTTCGTTTGATTTGAATTGCATGAGAATGTAGCGTGAACCGATATAAATATGCTTTATGAAAGCGACGATGTTGGGAGGGGGGGAAAGGTTTCTTGGCCTTTAATGGAGCTTATAGCGGGGTTTCTTGGGACTAACATGCTTCAGAAACTCTGTATTACAGGAATTCGTTTTGAGACCTCTGATGAGATAATAAGCGTCATGCGCATGAAAAAAGCAAGGATCTGTGTCGATAGCTTGTTATTCACTCGACGTAGTCAATAATCACAATAAATAAATTCACTATCCCAATATGCACTACACCAGATCGCCATATCAGCTTCGCTGCCTTCCATCTTCGCAATGGTGAAAAGGCTGTGGCGTGCTTCTTTTTGTTACGTTTTATGCCTCTCAATCCGACTTACCGACCACTGCCACACGTCAAGTTGGAAGAAGACGCGCAGCCGCACGCAGTGCTGGGTTTTTTGCAACACCACGAGATGGCACTCGCCTCCGCGCATTTGTAGTCACTGGAACAGACTACTGACTTTACGCATTCGAACAGCAGCGGTGCAGGCCTCGCTGAGGTCAGAAAGTACAAAGAAAAAAATCAGACAGCTCGCCTTCGAACATCTGCAGCTGCGCCGTAATTAGAAAGTCAACGTTTTTTCGCTAATGGAAATTTCGCGGCAAAAGAAAAGGAACCGCGACGCTTTGCTCATGCTATATTAATTTCTGCTATCAAATAATGCGAGGAGGACAACATCAGAGCTTTCTTTTTTTTTTTTTGGCTTGACGCAACCTTAATGAGAACCAGCAGACAAACAAGCCGCGGGAAGTATAGGGGATATTATTTGTATAGTAGTTACGACATAACTGTGCAGAAAGTAGCGTGGACGAAAAAAACAATCTGCCGGCAGCAGGCATCTGACCTGGAACATCAAAATGGCGCTTCCAGTGATATACCAGATCAGCTACGGGGTCGGTCGACATTCCGTTCACTTGTTCGGGCATATCTGTGAGCGGCGCTAGCTAACACTCTTAGGTTTGCGAGTGCAAGGCGTTAGCCACTGAGCCACGAAGGAGCCCCAACACTCTTAGGTTTAGTTGCAGAGCTATTCTCAATAAAGTGGACGAGAAGATGTCCACCAACATGGCTCGATTGGTAGAGCATCGATCTAACGAGTTCTTAGGTCAATAAATGAAGGATAGAACGCCTGAAAGAAGCTGCCTTTCCTCCTCAACGCCCTCGCTTAAAACTAAAGAAGATGTCAGGTGATGTTAACAGTGTGCATGCGCTAAGGAAGACAATCTGCACTTACTGGAATGCTGAAGTCATTCCTTGTTTACATTCTATTGCTGATAAGCTGAATAAAAATGTACATTGAATTTGCGACTTACCTTCTTTTACTGCTTGACATGATCTGAAAAAACTTTATCGGTCACTCAGAGAAGCTCTGAAATGAGTTACTGCTTCTCGTTATCTCCGGCATACAACCCGGTTGGAAACAAATAATCGCGAAAGCATCTGCACTCATCTAATCAGTCCACCGGGCAACAATTTCTTCATTATGGTATTCAGCCGGGGCTGGGGCGTCGCCGTATGCTATAGACCAGAAATCACAACGCAATAAATTGCGCAACAATCTCGCAGTCACAATTTCTACGGGTGACTCGCCTACCGGCTGCGCTTCTTGGCAGTGTTTGTTTTGCGAAGGTAATCCGTAGAGCTGATGAGTCTAACATCGTTATTACTAGATAAAGCGAGATAAAAACCAATGTGGACCCAAGAAAATTGACGCACATGTGTCATACCCCCTTCGCATTACTTCTAACCCAAACCCCAAGAGAGAAGGCTGGGAGGCCGCCCTGCTCGACTGCTGGGACCGTCAGGCCAAGCAGGCCTTGGTCCAGAGAACCAGGACGGTGGCTTTAACCCTTGGAGTCCGAGAACAGGGATTCTACCTAGTATGTAGGGACCGCTAAAAGGGCCCTAGACCTCTCTTTTGTAAAAAGATTTTCACCACCCCAACTACCACCAGGCAAGCGTAAAAAATATAAAATTACAAAGAAGGCTTAAACTGAAATAGAATTTAGAGGTTAATCTGCAGTGTTTATTTCAGTACTGTGCAAAAGGAATAGACTTCGCTGATGCATGCTGATGATGTGAATTCTTGTGTATCAAGGCCATCCAAAGGAAGCGCCCACTAAAGGTTAAAAAAAAAACTAATGAAAAGACATGCACACTTTGCTGCGCACATCCCAGCGTGTGGCTGGGTGGTACGCTTTTGTGAGGCCAGAATTTCAGGCCGGTTATAAAAAACACGGCTCAGGTGGCCGCGGATCGAAGTTCTCTTCACCGGAAAAAATTCGTAATATTTCCCTTCTTCATTCAAAGCTTCAGTCTCGCCTTCCTCCACCCCATTTTTGTTTGCGCTCTCTCACATGAATGTTAAAAGGTCACAGACCACAAAACAAAAGAAGAAGAATATTTTCGCTCTTTCGCCAGGCAGCCTTAAATTTGGATTTCCTCGCTGCTCTAATGCGCGCCCACATCGTGTACTGTGCAGCTGCTACCGAATAGTCATAAACTTCCAACTTTCAGGAAGCTCAAAATACTCTCAGAGCCAGTGGTCTCTAAAATTTTGACGCCGACTATGTACAAGTTAGGCCAACTTAACTTTGAAACATAGTCCTTCAATACTTTTGAAGCTATTAAGGGAGTATCACCACAGTGTTTGCTCGAGTTGCTTGCACTGCGTCGCAATAATATTAATCAGGAGACCTACAAATATTTCCGCAGACTTGCAGCACGCCCTTTAAAAAAAATAAACAAAGAAATGCAGAATCACACACTGTACCTAAAAAGAGGCCGAAATGACCGTGTTTTACCCAGTTACAGTGTTATTGTTTTTTTAAGCAATTCACCCCACTCATCATCACCGTTAAAAGGGCCCCTGAAGCAGCTGAGGCTCACGATGCTCTTTGTTTCTTGTTATTTTTTCGTTTTCAATACTGCATGCGTAAGATCAGGCTGAATGCAACGCAGGAAACATCCTGATACCCGATCAGTCGTGCGAAACGATACTGTGCTATTTTTTCTTCCCCTCTTTCGTCTTCGCCAAATCCGCGGACATGTCGGCTCAACCATTGATACTAAACTCTTTCAACGGTTATTTCCATGTTTAATAAAGCGACAATGCGTGCCCTCATGCAACAATGATAAAGATCACGAAGAGGAGTCGCCCTGCGACTGTTGGGACTACAAATGACATTATACACTCCTAAATATAACAAATAACATTGTGAATTACCTTTATAGAATGTCCGAACTTTGTAATAATATTGTATTGCACAATGTAGCTGACAAAAATTAGTGACATTACAAATCGTTAATTTCGACAAGTAACGAAAGTGCTTTGTAATTATTTTGGAAAAGTAATGAACTTACTCTGAAATTACTGCAAGAAATGTTATTCAAGCATCATTATTAACGTCATCCGAGTTGAAATGCTACGTTGCTTTTAAACGTGCCTACCTCAATCTCACGCTTTCAGTTTGGTACATCAGACTGACCTGTTCACACTTGGCTTTTGTTTTTTTTTGCCATTTTTATGCCATATAATGCAGTGGGCGCGTTACATTTTAGCCAAAAGTAATTGTGAAGGTAGTAATTTCTGGCGTGTAAT